ATACACTACTAAAATCACACTTATCACTTGCGGGCTACCAACCGGATACTTTCTGACAGTCGAGCGTCATGGAACATTTAGTACGCATTTAGTGAGATTTAGTAGACAGTAGAGTTCGGTAGTAGATTTGCCCTCACTATTAGTAGAACTAATGAGTAGATGCCGAATGCTCTTAGAGATTGCCGAGTATGCCATACTTGCTGTTTACGAGACTTCTGCCTGTACACAATTACTGCAACACACACGAAACTGTGATATTTTGCTTAGAAATTTATTTGAAGTTCCAACAATAAAATTGTATTCTTGATTTGAAATTAATGTTTTTTATGTTACTCCCACAACAGCAGTAATCATAGCACACATTGGGTACCGTCTATTTTACCTTATAAAATGGTAGGACTAGAGCTAACACAGCTTATACAAGACACCTTACGCATACACAGGAATCTATCATATCTACTGGAGCTGATTATTCGTGCTTCATACGAAATTCAAAATGTTTTCTTCAGGCTTGTTCTTCCTAATATTCACTAGCAAGACAGCCGCTTACATCGCACCAAAGGCTTGACACAATAATTAATTGTAATGCGACATATATTGAAAGCGCTATTCCAAAGGTGTTAGCAGTCCACTTTTGTACTTTACGAGGATATCTCACATTTTCATTTCTAGTAATAATCTCGTTGCCTGGAACCAGTTTTTTCATCTCTAATGTTTGAAGTGCGCTGGTACTGAAGCACCTGATAACACACCTGATGAAATCTAGTGTACATAATTAATTTTTAATTAATTTTTGGTTTTTTATAAATTACGATTTAGTGCCTTTTGAAACAAAAATTAAAAACTCCTCAAATAAAAATAAAACACTAATAACTAACACAAACAGAGTAATGTTATAACAGATAACAATGTTATTAATGTTACTCATGTAATAAACATATTTTACAGTTTGAGTTGTACAAACCCTGAAAACTGTCAATGGAGATTACAGTGGCGAGTCAGTAATTAGCAATGTTCAACCATCACTCTTCATTGTGGCTCAACAATGATATAATGCAATCTTCACAGAGTCATTTCATTGGTCCTTCCTGATCACTAAGTTTTATATTTGATAAGTTTTTAATTTTTTCTGAAATTTCTGCTATATCCAAATTTATAAAAAAACTAAAATTAATTCAAAATCAATCATGTACATTAGATCTTCATTCGGTGTGTTTTATGGAGATGCTAAGTACCATTCAACTAAAAGATATTAGAGTGAAAACTGTGTTTCAGGCAAGAGAACATTGACTAAAATTTCTCAATGGATGTAACACCCTTTTGGGAGTCCAAACTCAATGTTTGGAGCGCTGTTGTGAAGGGATATACAAACGTTTTGATGGGCAATGGTTATCAACATGATGTAGATTAGGGCTATAGTGTAATTGATGTACTAACTCCATTTTGATCCAAAGTGGTTAACAACTTTGAAATCAGCTCTTCATATCTATTATCTACTCCTGATATATATATATATATATATATATATATATATATATCTATGTGTGTGTGTGTGTGTGTGTGTGTGTGTGTGTGTGTGTGTGTGTGTGTGTGTGTGTGTGTGTGTGTGTGTGTGTGCTACATAAAATCAAATGTAAAATTACACATAAACGTTTTCAGTAATATTATCTACTTGTTAACACCATCTGATTTACTGAATTTTCACATTTAAGCGCTGCACTAGACAGATTATATTTACCTGGTTTAATGCCCATGCGAATTCTCAGTTACGTGTGTCACGTTGTGATGACGTGCAACGCAAAACAGAATCCACATTACTTAACGAGTTGTACGCTCGTTCATATTTGGTTTATTGTAACTTCAGATTGCTTGATTTCATGAATGCTGCATTGCATAAATCACATCTATACGGGTTTTTACCTGTGCGGGATAGGAGATGCAATTTCAAATAGATTGATATCATATGAAAGCTGCTTTACATACATAGCATTTATATGGGTATTCTCCTGTATGAGTTTTCATGTACCTGCAGATTCCTATGATCTCTGTGAGTCTTGAGTTTAACGAAGCGCGATTAGTTTAATTAATTAACAAATATACAC